ATCTCTGGGGTACAGACCTAGTTGTTATTGCTGGATCAAAGGGTATGCAGAATTTTATAGTCCTTTGGGCATAGTTCCAAATTGCTCTTCAGCATGGTTGGATTAATTTACAACTCCACCAACAATGCATTAATGTTCCAGTTCTCCGACATCCCCTTCAATATTTATCATTTTCCTTTTCTATCATATTAGCCAATCTGATGGGTGTGAGGTGGAACCTCAGAGTTGCTTGAATTTGCGTTTCTCTAATCAATGATTTAGAGTATTTTTTGTATAGTGACTATAGATAATTTTCATTTCTTTGTCGGAAAACTGCCTGTTTATATCCTTTGATCATTTATCAATTGGGTAATGACTCATATTCTTACAAATTTGACCCAGTTCTCAATATATTTGAGAAATTAGGTCTTTAATAGAGAGACTTACTATAAAAAATTTCCCCCAGTTTTCTACTTTCCTTCTAATCTTAGCTGCATTGGGTTTGTTTGTGCAAAGACTTTAATTTTAAATAATCAAAATTATCAATTTTACATTTTGTAATGCTCTCTGTATCTTGTTTGGTCCTAAATTCTTCACACAGATCTGACAGGTAAATTATTCCATGCTCTCCATGCTTATGGTAGAATACTTTATGTCCAAATCATGTACCCACTTTGACCTTATCTTGGCATATAGTGTGAGATGTTGATACATACCTAGTTTTTGCCATACTGTTTTCCAGTTTTCCCAGCAGTTTTTGTCAAATAATGAGTTTCTGTTCCAAAAGCTTGGCCTTTTAGGTTTATCAAACACAAAATTACTATGGTCAATTACTACTATGTCTTGTGGTACCTAATCTATTCCACTGATTCACCACTTTATTTCTTCACCAACACCAGACTTTTTTTTTTTGATGATTACCGCTTTTATAATACAGTTTGAGATCCACTATGGCTAGGCCACCTTCCTTCACATATTTTTTTCCACTGATTTTCTTGATATTCTTTACCTTTTGTTCTTCCAGATGAATTTTGTTATTATTTCTTCTAGCTCTATAATTTTTTGGTAGTTCGATTGGTATAGCACTGAATAAGCAGATTTAGGTACAATTGTCATTTTTACTATATTGTCTTGGCCTACCCATGAGCAACTGATACTTTTCCATTTGTTCAGATTTGATTATTTATGTGAAAAGTGTTTTATAATTGTGTTCATATAGTTTTTGGGTTTGTCTTGGCAAGTAGAGTAACAAGTATTTCACATTATTTACAGTTATTTTAAATGGAATTTCCTTTTCTATCTCTTGCTGTTGTACTTTGTTAGTAATATACAGAAAAGCTGATAACTTATGCGGTTTTATTTCATATTCTGCGATCTTGCTATAGCTGTTATTTCAACTAATCTTTCAGTTGATTTTCTAGTATTCTCCATCATATCTTCTGCAAAAAGTGATTTTTCTTTCCTCATTCCCTATTCTAATTTCAATTTCTTCTCTTATTGCTACAGCTAGCATTCCTAACATAATACTGAATATAGCAGGGATAATGGGCATCCTTGCTTCACTCCTGATCCAAATGGGAAGGCTTCTAGCTTATCCCCATTATAGATAATGCTTGCTGATGGTTTTAGACAGATAATATTTATCATTTTAAGGAAAGCTCTATTTATTCCTATACACTCTAGTGTTTAATAGGAATGGGTGATAACATTTTGTCAAAAGCTTGTTCCGCAACTATTGATATGATTTCTGTTGGTTTTCATATTTAATTGCTGATTGTTTTCCTAATACTGAACCAGCCCAGCATTCCTGATATAAATCCCACTTGGTCGCATTGAATGGTCCTTGTGATATATTGCTGTGATCTCCTTGCTAATATTTTATTTAAAAATTTTAGGCAATGATTTTGGAGGTCCCTTCTGGCTCTGAAGTTCTGGGACTCTAGATTACAACAAAAGGCACACTTGTGTGAAAAGATAAATAACTGTACTAGGCAATCATGTGCTAAGTTCTGAATGGGTGATATGGAAAAAAAGCCCCAGAAAAGAATTAAGGGAGACATTACAGTGGATTAATCAAGGAAGGCTTCAGGAAGCAGACAGGAATGGGAAATATAAGATGTGGGAAGGAGGAGAAGAATACAAGCCAAGAGAGCATGAAATAACAGTCAAAAAAGGCAGAAACAGTTCAACATTGAGATCCTATAAGGACACATAAGGCAAACTGATAGTATACCTTGGATTACAATGGGGGAACCTTTGGGTATGAAACAAAGTTAGGAAAAGTGAAATGAACTAGCCCATACCAAGAGAAGTAAGGGTCCTGGCCTTATTCCAGTTACTGGCCTAACTTAGAATAACCTTATTTTTCAGAAGCTGGGGACAAGGCCATCAACTGACCTATCCTTTAGCAGGATGACATCCTTGGAGTCACAGAAATCACAGGTTACAGTTAAAAAGGAGGTCAGAGGTATCCTCTCAGTGAGGCATCATAGTGAAAGGAATGATTATTTCTCTTATATTAATAACCAATTACTGAATTACGACTAAGGTTTTTCCCCTTCCTGTTTCCTCATTCAGAAATCAGCCCCTGTAGGTTATTCAACCAGCCTTTGAAGGGCAGGACTGATAAGATGAAATATTGGGCTAGACGCAGCCAATTGAGAAAACTCACATCTGATCAAAAGGTAAAGAAATTCTAGTATGGGTGAACTGGTGGATTCCAGCCCATGTGTTTTAGTCAGACATGTCTGGGTGGAAGTGGATTCCCCCTTTTGTCTAGATTATTCTAGATGGGGTGGTATGGGTATAGATAAGTCTCTTTGTCCAAGACTGAATGATCAGTCATGGTCCTCAAACTCTCATTAGAATAAGTCCACCTCTCATTATAATATTCATTCTCTAATACTCTGTGACCCTGGGCAAGTTCTTCAATCTCTCTCAGGCTCAGTTTCCTCAAGTACAAAAAGGAGGAAATAATGGAATCTCTCAGAGTTTCTTCGAGGATCAAATGACATACAAAAGCTAACTTCCTGTTGGAAGTTTATTAACAACAGATCACACACAGGAATTTTGTTAAATAAAATGACATTCCTGCTCCAAAGAGCATCTGAAAGCCCTCTGGTTATTCCCAAAGTTATATGCAAGACATTTTGCAAAGTTTAAGGCAATGTAAATGTCAGTTATTATCTTTCCCAATTCACTCAAGTTTAGAGATGATGAAATTAAGGAGCAAGCAGAAAAGGTGGTAACTGTCCCCTTTCCCACAGTAAGTTAATGACAGAACTATGACTAGAACCCAGGCCTCCTCTCTCCCCAAGAATAACAGACTTGCTAGTCAGATATCAAAAACAGACAAACATCTGAAAAAAGTGTAATGATTCAGTTTAAATGTTCTTCCTTTTTTTTTTTGAGTTCCAAATTCTCTTTCTCCCTTATCCATTGAGAAAGTAAGCAATATGACTTTAAAATTTTTTTTAAATATGTAAATAAAAGTAAGTCCTATGATGCCACTAGGGAAAAATGAAGTTTCTTTGTTTTTGCTGAGATTGTTAACAAAGTTTCTAGATCCAATTTTTGTTTGCATTTCATATTTAAACATCAGAGGCCTGCTTCATTTGGGGGAAGTGGAGTGGAGAGAATCCATCTTTATCCTAAGAAAAATTTGCAAACATGAGTTAAACACACATCTTGTCAAACTGACATTTCATTAAGATACTTAATGAAACTTCCCAGACCGTTGGGGATAACCCAGAGGGCTTTCAGATGCTCCTTGGGACAGAAATGTCATTTTATTTAACAAAATACCTGTGCGTGATCTGTTGTTAATATTCTTCCAATAGGAAGTTAGCTTTTGTGTAACTGACCAGACAGACCTGCCATTCCCTTGTCAACCTGGGAGGCTGGAGGCTATGCCAAGTTCAAATCTAAGTAAAAGGGAGGACTTCCAAAAAAAAAGCAAGTTCTCTTTATGCCTAGCTTTTGTGTTAAATTACAAGTGACTGTGTAGGTAAATCTAGTATTCAAAGGGATGCTTTAAAAATATTCATCATTTTGTTATTAATAATAATTCTTTACCTCAGTGCTTTAATTTTGTTCTCATGGTAGGATTTTTTGTGTCTACTCTCTTCTTGCTCAAACTGGATTATCTAAGGATGACTTAAACAAAACAAACACGTATGAAAATAAAACACAAAACTAGCTATGGCTACAAATTGTGATGGAAAAAGCAAGGCTGCAATTAGGAAGCCTAGATTTGAATGCAAGTTACAGTGTTTACTATCTGTGTGACCTTAGGCAAGCCATTTCAGTTTCCTTACCTGTAAAATGAGGATTATGGACTAAATGATCTCTGATATCTCATCCAGTTCTATATCCTATAATGCTAGGTGTGATAAAATATTAGGAGGTAAAGGTAGTCAGCACTGAGAGGGATGAGTCAACATTTAAAAACATTTATTTAAGGCCATACTGTGCATGGATGATGTATTGTGCATGGCTTGGAGAATGCTACCAAAAATAAATAATAGAATATGGTAAGGACATAATGAGTACAAAGCTCATTAAAATCATAAAATCATAAAAATCAGATGATGAAAAAATGCAAGAGGCAGATGACATCTGAACTTCTTAAATTTGAACATCTGAATACCTTTTTTTTGGTTTTCTTTTTGTTATTATCCTATGAAGAATCAACTGGTCCTGCAGACAAGCTGGACAAAGTCTCAATTTCTGTACTCACTGCTTCAGGTTTCTTGGAGGTTGAGTTACCTGGATATAGCTCTCTCTTCTAGCAGTTCCCAAAAAAGAATCAGTCACAAAGGGCAAAGAAATGACAAAAAGTGCAGACAAGGTGGAAAAAACATATGAGAAGATGAGGAAAATATGTATAAAAATATTTATTTGAATGAACAAGTGGAAAAAAAGCATTTATTAAATGCCTACTATGTGTAAAGCACTGTGCTAATGGGGATACATAGAGAAAGAAAAGGAAGGCAGCCTCTGCCCTCAAGGAGCTCCCATTCTAATGGGGGAGACAACACATCAGCTGCAAGTCATATGGAAAAATCCCCCCCCACCAAGAAAAGCAAAAGAAAAATCCCATACTCCTCAGGACAGACCATAACACAATTGTTAAAAGCATTTCAATGAGTTACTGGGTTACAGAAGCCAGTGTTTCAATTACGATGCTACAGGACAACAATGAATTTATTGATGTGTATAAAACATTTAACATTTCTTCATGAAAGTTAAATTTTTTTTTTAAAAAAGATGTATATCTAATAGAATAAAAAGCAAAATGGAATAAATACAATGTGTAAAAATTCCTGAGTTTGACAACATAGTAATAAATGAATGAATTTAAGGTTTGTCTTTCACATCAATTGCACTCATAAAATTATATCCATTTCTGATGTTAAGCCATTCGGCAGTGCCAAGAACTTTTTCTTTTGGGTCTTTGATAGCTTCATCTGTAGCCCCCAAAGGAGCCATTACCAAGCTGCATCCCCATAGGGATTTCTTCCCCAGATGATAACTGTGGACACTAGGCCACAAGCACTACTATTCCTAAGGCTCCTGGGATTGTCTCCAACAGTTTCTGAGGGGAGGTGGTGGTCAAGGCGGTAGTGTTTTGACTTGTCTGGAGTAAGCTTCCTCGTCTTCCCCCATCTCAGGGGTTCTTTGCTGTTTCATGTAAACAAAAAATAAGTTAGTAAATAAAAGGTTAAGAGAATCAGCATTAAGAACAAATAAACAAACAAACAAGGAGGAAAAAAGCTATACCAGCTCTTGGCATCATATTTGAGTAAAGACACTGACAAACAGGAACACGTCCATATGAGGGCAACCACCATGCCATATAAGGATCATCTGAAGGAACTGAGGACTTTAACTTTTAACCTGGAGAAGAAGTGATAGGGTGGGCAGGGGAAGGCAAATTAGCTGCCTTTGAGTATTTCAGGGATTAACAGTTGAAGACAGATTTTTATTCTGTTTGGCTACCAAGGGCAGAACAAGGAATTCTGTAGAGAAGTTGTGGAACAGCCAATTTCAACCCTAAAGAAAAACTTTCTGAGAATAAAAGGTCTCCAAAAGCATCGAAAAGTAGAGGACCCCCTCCTGACCAGAATTCTTTGACTTGGTGGCTGTACAATCCATTTTCAGGGACAGGTATATACAGGATTCTTATTCAGGTATGGGTGAGGTGAGATAAGTCATTTCCCACATTCCTTCCACCTCTGAGACTGTTGGTACTAATTGTCGGTACTCCAAACTTCAGTCAAAGAGCTCCCATAGTCCCTCCAAAAAGCGACAGTGGCTCACTGACTGGAGCCCCATTGCTACCAACTGACCACTAAGTGGGAGAGTTAGTCCAAAATTCATGGCCAGGGAGAATGATCTAGTACAGGGATGGAGAAGAGCCCTGGATTCAGAGTCCAAAGGCACATGCTCTATTTCTGAGTCTATGGCCATGGGCAAGTCACCTAACATCTCCATGGCTCAGCTTGCTCTCCTGCAAAATAGCATTGTTAACACCAGATCTATCAAGCTCACCAGCATGCTGTGAGACTCAGTTAAGAGAATGAATGCAAACGTGTTCTAAAAGCCCTAAATAGTAAGACTGTTGTCATTAGTGAATCACTACAGGGCCCATCTGTCTGCTTCCAATGCAGTAAACCAAGCCCAAGATGAGATCAACTGGGGAAAAGCAACAAAAAGGTAGGGTCTAATTTGGTATCAGAGCAGTTCCTCCTTTCTCCCTATTCAGAGAAGCCTGAAGCTTTCCTAAAATTAAGCTGAATGGTTGCATCTTTTCTTTCTTTCTTCCTTTGCCAGAGAATAAGGAAAGGAGAAGCCAGTATTTTCCTCTGCTCATTTCATTGAGTGTGTCCAACAGCTAAATCATGGACACTTAGGCCTAGAAAAAACAGAACATTCTCTCTTAGAGCTTCACATCAGTGCCTTTTCTTTCCTCCTTTGCAGAGAACATGTCAGACCACTGGAGCTGGGCCATGGGGTGACTATCCACTAACGGAGAAGTCATTCCACTCTGTTCATGTCCCTGCTCTCCCATTACCTGCTTCTACCAAAAAAGAAGACCCGGAAATGGAAAGAGTGAGAGTGTGTGTGTGGGTGTAAACTTAGACAATTTCTAGCTAAAATGTCCAGGCAGTCAAACACTACATTCATCATATACTGACATGGGTCACAAAAATAACTGTGCCTGAAAAACAAATTTAACAATACTTATCAAGCAAGTATTGTATACAAGGCATTGTGCTAGATACTGGAGATACCTGTTTCTGCCCTCAAAAACTGGGGAGACTGCCCAGTAAAATTTGAGGAGGGACAGGAAGAACTTTCTGCCTCCTAATCTCTTCCACTGATTCACTGTCAAGATAGGTAAGATCTGGGCTAAAACTACCTCGGCCTCTGCACAAGCTAAGAACAGGGCACTATAGCAAAAACGTACTCTGTTATCAGTCAGTCAGTCAGTCAACAAGAATTTACTAAGAGCTTACTATGGCACTGAGCTAAGTGCTGGGGTTATGAAGACAGGCAAACAACAGTTTCCATTCTCAAGTACATCACAGTCTAATACTGAGTGTTAAATGTCAAATAAAAGTTCCTATTTTATCCCTGAGGCAATAGGGAGCCAGTGGAGCTTTTTGACCAGAGGGGTGACAAGATCATATTGGTGCTTTAGGAATATCAATTTGGCATCTGTAAGGAAGAAAGATTAGAGGAGGTAAAGAGACTCTCACACTAGACCAGTGGAGAGGTGATGAGGGCCAGGGACTAGAGCAGTATCTCTGAGTAGAGATAAGAGGATGGATGCAAAAAATATCAAGGAGGTGAAATTTATCAGACTGGTCAACCACTTAGATTTGTGCTTCCAGATGATTCTGTTACTTGGGGGGCACTGGGTTGGAAGTCAAGAAGACTTGGGTTTAAATGTAGGCTCAGACATTTATTAGTTATGTGACCAAGTTAGTTAATAAGTATTTCTCAAACCCGTACAGTGTCAGGCACTGAGCTAAGCACCAGGACCACAAATACAAACAAAAAAGCAAAGCGGTCCCAGCCTTGGAAGAGCTTGTATTCTAAAGGAAGACACAGTGCGTAAAAGGAAGCTGAAGGGAGTGGGGACAGGAAAGTACTCAGGAGCACATGGTGGAAGAATCCAGACTGCAGCCAATCAGGACACACTCCTTAAACCAAAGTTCTAGAAGAAGTGGTGCAATCAGAGTCAGGGGCCGCAAGGGCTAAGGGTACTTCTGAGGTGTGAATCCCAGGGCTGAAGCAAATCTCCCAGGATGAAGACTTTCCATGGCCGAGGAATCCAGATTACAAGCCGGTGAGAAATAAAGAGTTACTTAACCTCTCTAGCTACTTATCTTTCTCTCTATCAGTTTTTTCATCAATAAAGCTGGGGGTTTAATTTAATGGCCTCTAAGATCCATTCCAATTCTAAATCTGTGATCCTATGGTAAAGTCTTGAATTAAATACATGGAAACACACAGAACTCATATTTACACAGTACTCTAAGAGTCACAAAGAAGTTTGCTTCCTTGTGACCCTTGAGAGTCTATGATTCACATCTCTAGGCAGTTTTCCTGGTTGTCACCTCACTCCTCAAACCCTTGAATATTTTAATACTTTTCCCACCCTTTCACATTTCTCTATGTTATAGTTAATTTTTCTCCTGTCTTAACTATCCTCCCCAACATACCTTCCCAGGTTGTAAGCTTCCAAGAGCGAGCAAGGCCAGTGTCTTACTCATTTCTGCATTAGCCTCATCATTCAGCACACAAAAGCTCTATCTAGGGAGTCTACTGGATGCCCAAGGATCAGAACAGACTCTGATAATAATCAGTCCATTAGACTGCCAACTCCTTGAGAGCAGGGGCTGTTTTTGCCTTTAGTCTTGGCAGTTAGGCATGCAGTAGGCACTTAATAAATGCTAGCTAACCTGACTCTTCTATAGTGATTTAAAAGTGTCATAGAGTTACAAACTTTATAAGAGAGGTGGTCCAAGTAGAAGTAAAGCATGAATGGGGCTGGGCCCATGCCAATCTTGACTTCAAATTAGGGGCAACATCAGGGGTTTCCTTCTATAAGTCCAGCAGTGGCCTCCATAGTAAATCACATTTCCACTTTTACTTGGCTGTATCATCCTAGTTCCTGCCCCCTTTACTTTCAGGTTAATAAGGGAGGTGGAACAAAGTAAGCGATTGGGAAATGCAGGTACATTTCAAGTGGTTAAAAAGTGACAGGCATCGGCATGATGTGTTGATTTGTAAACAAAGTTTAACAAGAATGAACCAGGAAGAAAAGACAAGAAAAGAAAAGAAAAGAAAGCAAATAACCAACTGTCGAACCTCATAGCCCTGAGAATAATTTTACAGAACTCTCAATCATGGAACTCCATGTTTACATATCATTTTTCCTAAGGCATAACTTAGCATGTTAATTTTCATAGCATTTTACTGACACTGTTCTTTCCATCTCTTCCACCTGGTGAGGCACAGCTTGCCACAGTGAGATAAAAAGTCACTGAGCTTACAGATCAAGGCCTGGATTCTAGTTCTAGCTTCTGAACTTTACCAGACTCATGGAATTGGGCAAGCCACTTAACTGCTCTGGGCCATAGTTGGTTTCTTCATCCATAAAATGGGAACAGATTGGTTAATGGTACACAAAATGTTTTGAGAACATTCCAGTACTATTGAAATCTGAGCTGCAATATTGGCTTTGCTTGCCAGGAGAATTGCTAAAGGTCTCTCAAACTATAAGCAGGAATATTTCCAAAGTCCTAGAAGAAAATGACTTCAAAATGCCTTGTCCCCAAGCACTAAGTCCCTCTGTACAGGTTGTTTCAGTCACACTACAAGCAGCCCTTACCTTTGCAGTGATTCACACTTACAAACACACTATCAGTTACGCCGATTTGAGGCAGCACAGACCCATATCACCTCCAGATGACCCTAAGAGCCTAAGAACTAAGACCGTCCTCTACTTCCCACATCCAGTCCTCAGGAGATCTCTGCTTCCTGATCTTAGGTACAGCTCCTCCACCTATACTTATATATAACCGAACTCCTAGACATCAAATAGCATTGCCTGTATACTTAATTTATATACTTTTTTAGAAAGGAAGGAAATAAGCATTTATGAAGCACCTGTTATGTACCAGGCACTGTGCTAAGCCCTGTATAAATATTATTTAATTTTGATCCTTACCACAACACTATTAGGTATTATTATCCTTTTTTTTTTAGAGTTGAGGAAGCTGAGGCAAACAGAGGTTAAGTGACTTGCCCAAGGTCACACAGCTACTTATATGCCGGTGGCCAGTTCTGAACTTGGGTCTTCCTGACTCCAGGCACAACTCTCTTCCAACTAGACCACGGAGCTGCATACAATTTACGGGGTTATGTGGATTTGTAGTTAAATATGGTGTGAAATCAAAGGATTAAAAAAATAACATTTATTAAATGCTTACTATGTGCCAGGTACTGTTAACTGTTGTAGCTATAAATATAGAACAAGGCAGTTCCTTCCTTCAGAAAGCTTATTTTACTAATAGAAGACAAAACATATTGTATAGCGTAATAGTGTCAGAGTTTATATTTTTGGGCTCAAAAATCACTGCAAATGTTAACTACAGCCATGAAATTAA